CCTACCCAATCTTCAGCCTCATCCTTTACCTCAGAATTAAGTTTCTTTCCTTTGGGATATAATCACAGATAAGCCAGTGAATCAAATACAGTGCACAAGCAACACATTTACTGAGTAAGAACCTAGTGCCTCCCACCTCTTCGTAGCACTTGAGAATCAAAATCGAAGTGCATTTTCCTCTCCATACACTTACAGCTTTTACTGAATTGAGATACCTGACAGCAACCTTTCCAAACACCTTAGGATGAGACTTCTGCTGATAATGGCAAAGAATGACCGTTACTCATGAAAGGCTAGCTTTGACTTTCACAAGGAAAACTTAATTTTAACATTTTGGAAAAGACATACATTAACCACCACTAAGAAATGCCACCTTCCTTGCCCCCTTCCAACCCTGTAAAGTTGTTCAAACTGGTTTAACATTTGCAACTGATTAAATTTGATCTCTCCTTGCAAAAAATGCACTCTGAAATTAAGTAAGTGGGATCCTTTTATTTCAAAGTATCACTAACTATATAACACCAGTAGCACCCTGGAGAAGGACCATAAGGAGAGACTAAAATAAAGTAGGAGTGTGATAGCCCCAACAGCTGGGTGAAAGCTAACATTCCTTAGCAATTAAGTGTAAAAGATAGGAGCAAGCAATCAAAAGAAAATAAAAAAACCCACCACAAAACAAACAGATAAAGTCTCTTTTTTTTTCTGTACATTTCTACAAGCTGTAACTCCATTTTTATGTGAAACAGTCAACAAGTCTGGGCCTGTTGAGAGTGCACAATTAATTTAAATGAACAGTAAAATACACAGCAAACCAGCCTCTCTAAAGACATCTTCTGCTTTTATATTTGGCTATATCAGTTAAGCCAACAACAGTTTTATGTGTACTAATCTCCTCTGGGGGAATAGTTACATAAGGAGCCATACACAGAGGGCTAAAAACCCCCTAAGTTTGCCTCTCCAAGTATGCTGACACAAACAGCTATTTAGACAGCTAGCTGCCCATTTGTAGTACAATTACCATCCAAACGCAGACAACCACAGTAAAAGAAAATCGTAAGTGATCACTATGTTTTGTACATAAATAGTGTACATAAATTATTCTAAAAACTAACCTTTAACACAGATTCAGATAACAGATGATTTTGGATCAGAAAACTGACATTTGTTTTATCCTCATATGGTACAGAACTATTTTATTTTCCAAAGAGAGCATCTCAGTTTTGTATATTGTTTAAATATATATATCTTGGTCTGATTAGGTATGTCACAGATGTCTGATGTGCTCTTCACATATCAAGTGTTCTAAATCACTACACCACTTGCCATCACTTCTGTTGAAAATCGCATATCCTTGCAATTTAGGAATGTCACTGTTCAAAGTGTACAAGCATAGAGAAATTGAAAGATTCTTCCCGTTCCCATTAGATACCTAGTCCTGTTCTCATACAGAAAGCTTGGCTGAATGGAAAGCATTAATTTTTACTTTCCACTGGCTGGTTTACAGAGTTCAGAACAGACATGAAGTGTAGGCTGAAAATGGGTTTCACACAGAATTCAGAGCTTTGCGTTTTCTTACATTTGTGTAAGCAAAATACAGCTTTAGAACTACAACAGAAAGGGCTGGGTATTCATGATGCATATATGTATTTTCTATTCTTTATGTACTTACTGAAATAATTTCAGAATGAAGACAAGAAGTGAATGTTCACAGTATCTGCACTTTTTATCTCTCATTGGTGGATTGCCTAAAAGGCATTTAAACTTAATCAAATTTAAAGCAAAATTAATTAACTAAAATTAAAAATAATTCATTACTGCCATATTACATTAAACCTACAGCTGAAGAAAAAGGCTGCTTTTAAATAAAGCTGCACAAATAATTCATCAAAACATTCACAGACCACAATACAGGGAGAGTAAGTATCAGGAGAGAAGTAAGTAATACAATGAGCTACAGAGTACAATTCCATGTATGGTCTAGCATTATCAGTGAGGAATAGTATAGAGGTGGTTACCATTTTCATATTTTCTATATACATCCTTTGTTTTTGTTACTCCCAACCTCTGGAAAGAACTACCATGTCTGCTTTAAAAACTGCATGCTCTTAATACTGCTGACAACGCAAATGGATTCGTACCATTCTTAGTACTGTACAACATTACAAATTTAAAAGATTTTTGGTGCTTAGGGTGTCACTGTTCTTGTGCATACCAGAGCTACTTTGCCTGAAAGCTGCAGTTGGAGGCATTTTCTCCTAGAGAACCTGCCCTGCAAGCTCTCACATCAGCACTTGCAGTTTAACAGAGAAAAACCCTGAACACCATGAGGATCATTTCCATTACTGCTTTGCACTGCAGAATGCGCATTTTTCTGTGCATCTGAAAGTTTGTTAGGTAGTCATCTGAAACTGCTATGCACCTGACACCAACATTATGGTGGAAAAAAACCCCAAACCAAGCAACAGTTGATTTTATCAAAATGCAAAGCTTTCAAAAAACATTTACATAGTGACAGATACCCCAAATTAGATATCAGAATCTTAAACACAAAGAGTTTTCTCTTTCATCCAGCTAAATGACCTACCTTCGTAATCTGGGACCCATTCCTTATGAACAGATCTCTCTCCCACCTGTTGCCTCCCATTAGCAGGATACTGTACAAGAACCAGATTGCCTGCATGTAGCTACCCTCTTCAAAGCTTAATCAGTTCCACAGAAATGTCTTGTAAGTCCTAGACCAGGTACTTAATCACAGCATCTATTTTGAAAATGCTCCTTTTGATGCAGCCCAGGACACGGTTGGCTTTCTGGGCTGCCTTTCCAGTTTAGAGACAAGGATGTCATGCAGGACCTTGTCAAATGCTTTGCATGAGTCCAGGTAGATGACGTCAGTTGCTCTTCCCTTATCCACCAATGCTGTGACCCCGTTGAGGAAGGCTGCCAAATTTGTCAGGCAAAATAAGCCCTTGGTGAAGCCCTTAGTGAAGGTTGTCTGTCACCAACCACCCCCTTATTGTCCATGTGCCTTAGCATAGCTTCTAGAGGGATCTGCTCCATGATCTTGCCAGGCACAGAAGCGAGACTGACTGGCCTGTAGTTCCCTGGATCTTGTTTTCCTTTTTAAAACTGGAGGTTATGTTTCCCTTGTGTTCATTCTTTATCTTGCAGTTACAGTTTAATTCTATTGCAAGGTTTTAAACTTCTTTTAAAAAGCCGAATGTGTATATTTTGCATTGCTGTGATAGCCAACCCGCACAATAGACTAAATCAACTCAGTAGAAAAAAAAAACAGAGGAATATTAAAACTGTTGCAGATGCCAAACTTCTGTCTGGAAGGCATATTGGCATAGCAAGTATATGGATATGTACCCCAGATTTACAGATTTTGTCCAACTTTGGACTTGCAGAATTTTTGTGTGGAAAAAAAATACCTGCGGGATGCACAAATGCCTTAATGTAGATGGGTATGCACACCATCACTTTCTTTTTTCCAACGTACAAGTGCACGTGCAGCTGTTTGCTTTCAATTCATTATCTCTCATCAATGAGCATTTACTTGGCCTTTTATCTTGAAACAGTAACTCCAAGTTTGACAGATAAATAATAGAAAAAGACATCATATCTAGCCAGGCAGTCAGAAACATCATCTACTGAGATCCATTCTGTAACACATAGGGCTCTTTGCAACAGGCTTATAATCAAGAGGTAACCACATCCTCAACACAAAATGAAGAAAAATCTTCTTGCCTCATTCAGATTCATGGCAAAACCCACACCAACTTCATGCAAAGCTGAACTAGGCTCAAAGCAGTGTAGCACTGTAAGGCCCTAATGCACTACACTATGCTTGCTGTTCCTTCTGGGCCCAATTCGCCATAATCATAACTATGCACTCATTTGGGATGAACTTTTAATTTCCAGCAACTGGCCTTTACCTGTTCATGCCCTTCCTCAATGACAAAATAACCTGACACTTGAGAATTTTTTTCAGCCTTACAAACCCCCTTATGTGGTTCACAGCATGACCACATGAATGAACAGAATTAAGGGAACAAGCAGCCAGGCAGGAAACTCTGCAAGCTTACATCTGGCTAGAATGGTTCCACATGCATTAAGCTAATTATTTTGCCAAACTTACACCTTTCTTCTGTGTCCTTTCATCAGTAGCACAAATTACAATGGCCTTACTTCCTTTGTCCAATCAGAATTTCAAGCAGATGTTACAAAGCATTTTTATCTGGGGTAAAAAATTAATTTCACTGTGAATTACAAATGAATCTAGATGCAAATGATGTCTGTGGCACATTAAACAGTGCATTAGTCACAGCTAACTCAGTGACAGTGATGTCTGTGTGAAAACTACAGTCTCTCATTTTAAAAAAAAATTTCTGCCCTTCCTGCCTGGAAAAAACAGTTCTTACTACAAACAACAATACTCTGTTTACAAAGGAGAAACTATAGTAGCAACAGAAGCAGAGGAGGATTCTGCCACAACCAATTCAGAAATAAGTGCCACTCATAAAACAGGTTCCACTCACTCATGTCATTAGCCGAGGGTTTTAGAATTCTAATTACATATTAAGCCTATTCTAGTACTACAAATATTCTGATAGGTATCATGTGTGACACTACCAGTGTTTAACTTGGCATTCTAAGTAGATGGAAGAAAGCTCTGTATCTCAGCATAGCATTCTAGGCCCTTCTCTATTACTCTTCCTTCTGAAACAACACTACCTCATTTTCCCTGAGCTCACTAAATTTTAGCTACTGATTTTACAATTCTGTCTCTCCCGCCCTTCTCTCCTACCCAACACAAAGAACTACTTTATAAATAAAAATGGACCTTAAGTGACATTTATTTAATAAGCATTCAGCCAGACTCACTTCCAGAAGCTTTCTGCACCCTGGTGGCTCTTACTCAAGATCTGAGTCCTACAACCCAGCCATGACCACAGTGGCTATAATAGGCAAATGAAAAGTAAATTCATCCCAGCTCTTACCTGACCACGGTTGTGAAGACTTAAGTCCAGTCCACATGTAAATTCAGTATGATGCTCAACTGTTTCCAGCAAAGGGTTAGGCTTGGAAAAGTCCCAGAATCTATAGAAAGAGGGAAAAAAGGAGAGGGGTGGGGGAATAAAAAAAAATCCGAAAAATCAAACAAATCAGAATAAAAGTAATTGAAAGGCCATTTTAAAAAAAATATAATGCAAGATATTGACAAATCTGTTGCTGCCAGGATATTTAAAAAAGCAAATTCATTCACTTAGGAAACATAACAAATCATACTCCTGCAAAGCCATCTGCTGATTTGCATAAACTCCACTGGGCAAAACCATCTTTGTCTCCTATTGCAGAAACTGAGATCAAAGTTGGCACCAAAGAGCAGCCATTGGGACATTATTAAAGCAGAACAAAATGTAGGTTAGCATACTCTTATGTTTCTTGATGACTGGGGAATTTTATCCCTGAAAGACATTAGCACAATTTACAATTTTGCTCAGTTTTTCATCTTGTTCACTATGGAGTCTTTACTTACTGAAAACTACACATTCATTCAGAAATATTGGTCATTCCCAGTGTCAAATTTGAGACCCATCTTAAATTTGTTCCCTAGAAAACAGAATTTTATATTATAATTTATTAATAAATTTGTAATACAAAGATCAGTTGCATTATGCAGTTAATACCTCCAACTTGTATTTCAAAAAGCATTTTTTCCTTTGATATAAATGCTCAGAAGATTTCTGAAGCGCTCTCATTATCCCAGTTACAGGTTTGTTAGATGCAGTGTCCACCAATGCAGTTAACAACAAGGATAAGACAGGTGTAAGAGGAGATGGAATGAAAGTATAGGTACAGGTAACCTCAGTAATGAGAAAAGGACTAGGGAATAGAGCTTTCAGATAATAACACACTGACAAGACACCATGTGATGGCAGAAAAGAAAGTTTTGTTTTCTTTTTTTGCGCTGTATATACTGCTTAGAAAAGTCCACAGGACACAAAGCACAGCACATTTTGTGGGTTGGCTGCTGTACTCAAATTTTCTATAGCTCAAATTTTCACACAGTGGCCAATTGTATGCTTTTCTTCTTCTGCAACAAGCACAGAGGTCACTCGGCCTTGCTCCTACTGGAGAAGGTGATAATACTTAATAAGAACAGTTCATTACCAGACCAGCTACACTGAAAGCACTGTATGTTCAAACCAATTCAGGTAAAATAGCAAACACTGGAGCCAACAGGATCAGTTTGTTTAAGGTGTAGATGTTATTTCCTTCATAAATGAGGAGAGTGGTATCAGCACAATGACCATGCCATAGCAACAACCCTCTTAACTTTTTCCTAGTACCTGAGATCTAAGATAAATAACTTATTTTGCAAGAGAGAGGAGAAAAAGACCACCTCAGCGTTTTCATCCTCCCACATTTGTTCCTAAGGTAAGAAACAGATCTCATTGTTTTTAAATAATAGTGGTGGCCTTCCTTACCACATTAGCTCTATACTAGATCCTGAAAGAAAATATGCTCATAACTGAAAACTAAGATTAAAGGAGACAACTTCTGATCCACATTAACAAAAACTTAGAAAAGACTTTCTAATAAATTTTAAAAATCATAGGGCAATTTGGTGTTTCTTGTATGGAGTCATGTTTGCAAAGTCAGAAGCAGTACAGAGTTTAAGAGTACTGCAACTTAGTTCACATTCTACAGACTGTCCAGGACATTTTTTTGTATGTGAAAATAATTACTAGTGAAAGTCCAAAAGAAGAAAATGGTTCTCAGGACTGAGAACCACTGATGACTAATTAATGATGCTTTTCATATCAACCATACAGTCCAAAGTGAAAAACACTCAGCAGCCCAGCTTCCAAAACCAGCATGGTGACAACAGTATCTTGCTCAGAGTAAATATCCATTGCATTCTGAAGACTGAAAGCACAATGTGAGTTTTCTAATAGTGTTTACCCCAGCACGATAGCTGTAGAGCAAAATGAAGATGCATTCATAGCACAAATAAGTGTGCTTGCATTACTTTAATTGTAGGTGTACTTATGCAGTTGGCAGTATGAACTTCAACAGGAAGCCACACAATCACATAGGCTTTTAGGGTCCCTTACAGGTTTGTACAGCCTGTACAATCACAGGTTTAGCCATATTATGTACATTAAAACTAGCACTCACAAGTGCAGTCACATCTGCATTGACCATAGATACCCTGCAACCTTTATGAGTGCATTTTCTACACTTTTTTTTCACTGGAACTGTCGAAAGTATTCCTTTTCTCTCATTTCTTGATAGTTTCTTATTTGGTTTACATGTACTTCACATGCATGTATACTGAAAGCAACTGCTTATTCTAAACAAGCCATTATGCGAAGATGTGGCAGCCTAGTGCTATATGCTGAGGAGTCAGCAGATCAGCAAGCGGATTATGACAGACAAGCACCAGACAGGTGGTGCTTGTCTTCATCTTCCTTAAGGTAATCCTTTGGATTTCCTTCTCTTGTATGCTCATGAGTTTTCATTAAATTTGTATAGGCTTAGCAAATTTGGACTACAGCTTCCCTGTCACATCCAATTAAGTTTTCAATATGTTCAAATGTTACTTCAGGAAATGTCTCAGGGAAAAATGCACAGATGGAAGCACAAAGAACACAACTCCTGAAGTCCACTTCCTTCTGGGAAACAAAATATTTATGACAAATACGTATTCATGAAAGGTTTACTGATGTTCTTGGGTTTTAAATTAAGATGTCTTCATATACTGTATTTTTAGGTGGCTGCAAATCGGCTATTTAGAGGCTGTTTTCCATAAAAACCAACTCAAAGACTAATGCCACCATGCACTTGCAACCACATCAGGCAGAAGTTACAGTAGCATGTGGATGTATATAACCGCTAAGTTTTCAAGAGCAACCCAGAACTCAGTGTTAGTTTACTACCCATGTATCACACATTTAATTTTCCTGTTCCCATTCTCTAATCCCTGTGCAGATAGCTACCTGTAATAATTCTTCCTGCAAACTAGAAAAACTTCTGAGTAAGCTACTTTTGGATACAGGATAATCAGGGAAATGTTGTTACTTCAGGCATTAACTGGGAACTGAAAATCTAACTATTTCCACAATAGTATCTTTTAGAGATTATTTCATTAACATTACAGTAAACCATCAACATTATGAAGCTGCTCAGGTACAAAAGAAAGCACTTATTCAAAGTATTACCTTCCATAAGCATGAAAGAAAAGAGGAGGAATTGCTTGAGAGCCAAATCAGATGGAAGAGAATCCAAAAAAATAATTCTGAAATAGGTTTTACTTTTGAGTTTGCTCCAGTAGCATAGCTCTTCCCTAAGGACTCCATGTATATGCTTTATTTCAAAGTAATTTTTTGCTAAAATTCTCACTTCTTAGTTTACTGCCTACGAACTGTATGAGAAAACAAACCACCTATGGGAGCATGACCCTACATATGCATCACTGGTTTTTCTTATTACATGTGTAAGTTGATGTCCTGAAAACGAAATCCCATACATTTTGCTATAAGGTAAAATGGCAAGTTATCTGGTTCAGTTCTTCAGCCACAACTAAACAGAATAACTTCGAAGAACAACTTAGTTACTAGCCTTCATAATACCCCTTCTGATTCTGAAGCTCTGAAAATTTGCAAAACTTACCATTATCTTTAATACTTTACCACAAACAATGATTGAGAATAACTCTCATCATCACATGCTTAAAACCATAATATATTTTAATCATCACCCTACTGAAGTACCAGCCAAAGATCCTAAACCAGAAACAGAATGCCCTGAAAAACAGGGCATGTTCACAAAATACACTTCTTGTCACTAAGAAGGTCTATCTGATTTAAGAAATCCAAGTGAGAAACTCCATTTAGGCAAGTATATGCTTTCTCTAGCACTTCTAAATCAAAACCAGATGCAGGCCAAGATGCAGCATCACATGCTAGTCTAATCCAGTAAAAAGAAGACATGAGCCTTCACAGGCTGGCTGGCATACAAGAGTAGTAACTTCACTGCTGCTGTTAGTAATTTAAGCATAGTTATCACAGTATCACAGTAGGTTAGAGATTGGAAGGGACCTCAAAAGAACATCTAGTCCAATCCCCCTGCCGGAGCAGGAACACCTAGATAAGGTTACACAGGAACGTGTCCAGGCGGGTCTTGAATGTCTCCAAAGAAGGAGATTCCACAACCTCCCTGGGCAGCCCGTTCCAGTGTTCCGTCACCCTCACTGAGAAGAAGTTTCTTCTCAGGTTTAAGTGGAACCTCTTGTGCTCCAATTTGTACCCATTACCCCTTGTCCTTTCATTGTTTGCAACTGAGAAGAGCCTGGCTCCATCCTCGTGACACTCCCCCTTTATATATTTATATACACTAATAAGGTCACCCCTCAATCTCCTCTTCTCCAAACTATAGAGACCCAGCTCCCTCAGTCTTTCCTCATAAGGGAGATGCTCCACTCCTTTAATCATCTTAGTTGCCCTGCGCTGGAACCTCTCCAGCAGGTCCCTGTCCTTTTTAAACTGAGGGGCCCAGAACTGGACACAATATTCCAGATGAGGTCTCACCAGGGCAGAGTAGAGGGGAAGGAGGACCTCTCTCGACCTACTAACCACCCCCCTTCTAATACAACCCAGGATGCCATTGGCCTTCTTGGCCACAAGGGCACAGTGTCGGCTCATGGTCACCCTGTCGTCCACCAGGACCCCCAGGTCCCTCTCCCCTGCACTGCTCTCTAACAGGTCGTTCCCCAGCCTATACTGGAACCTGGGGTTGTTCCTGCCCAGATGCAGGACTCTACACTTTCCCTTGTTATATTTCATCAAGTTATTCCCCGCCCAGCTCTCCAGCCTGTCCAGGTCTCTGGATGGCAGCACAGCCTTCTGGCGTGTCAGCCACCCCTCCCAGCTTAGTGTCATCAGCAAACTTGCTGATAGTACACTCAATTCCCTCATCTAAATCGTTGATGAATATATTAAATAATACTGGTCCCAGTACTGACCCTTGAGGCACTCCACTAGATACAGGCCTCCAACTAGACTCCGCCCCATAGACTACAACTCTCTGGCTTC